ACGGGGTGAGGAGGGCGTGGCCCACAAAGACGTGATGGCGGGGCAGTGGCGGGGTGGGCCCCACGGGGGAGGCAGTGGGCGGAGGAAGCACTGTGAAGGAGGGAGTCAGGGGGCGCATCCAGCTGGGGCAGGGCGGTGCTCTGACATCAGAGCAGCAGCCTCGGGGGGCGCTTAGACGTGGGTGAAGAAGTGTGGTGACGAAAGGAACCTGCTTTTCTCTATCTGGGCGGCACTCTCTCTCCACAGTGAGTGAGGGCAAGCTGGGGTGGGGGGAGTGCCGGTGCGGTGGGAACACGACACTGCAGTACAGACATCACCAGCCAGGTGAGCTGGAGGCGCACACCTGACAGCGGCCTGCAGGCGAGTGAGGCCGAGAGTGCATGGGAAAATGCAAGACTCAGGGCGGAGCACCGAGCAGAATTGTGTGGGAAATGCGGCCACCGCACTTGAGAAGTACAGGAGCGTGGGAAGCGCAAAGAGCCAAATTAGAACCGAGAAAAACTGCAAGAAGGATAAAGAACTCGAAAAGCCCAGAATCTGTTAGCACATGAGGCAAACAATAACTGATACATCTGAGTCATCAAGAAAAAGTGAGATTAAGTTCAGCACAATTTACATTGTGGGAAGATGTATAGCACATTTTTAAAAAAGATTGCTTCTCAGAACTGTTAGAAACGTTTCAGTCAGGAAACTCCAATTGGAGAGATCACTTTATTTGCGGATATTCTGGTAAATGAAAAGTATATAAATATATCAACATGCATATGCTTGCAGTGTTAGCGTTCACGGTACCTTCTGGAACAAAGCTTAGGGGGAAAGCTTACACTATCAGCTCTCCATCCGCATGTTTATTTAGAGATCTGCTCCTCTGAGCCCAATTTTCTATGCTCCGTTTAAGAAGTGAGAACTAAGCCAAAGACCCCGCGGAAGCAGGACTAGCTCCTCCTGCGCGAGAGGCCGGCCCCTTCCGAGGTGATTAAGGCTGATTTGTGTCAGATCTGGGGAAGCGAAAGCTTTCTGGCAGCACTGAGCTTTCCTGTAATTGTTGCAAAGTCCCACTTTATAAAACGCAGGGGCCCTATTTTACTTCTGAAAGGAAACTGGTGGGACTTTAAGGAGGTATCCTGGCACTAGGCCAGGGCAGCTGAACCCCCTCCCACTTACAGAAAAGCACACTGGCCCTTATCTTCCCCTTGAAGCTCATTTGCATCTCTGTCACCACCTCTCTCACATCTCCCCTCTAGGGGCCCAGAAGCCTCTCAGGTGAGAAGGGGCAGAGGGTGGCAGAGATGTTCTTGTCACCTCAGACTTGAGCGTCTCTGATGCACAGTGCCGCTTCCAATTAATTTAAAAATGATTCCAGGAAAATATTCCTCAGTGCGTAAGGTCTTTGAAGGCCCAGGAGCTTGACAGATGGAATTATCTTGGCCAGATCACTGACTCTGGGTCTGAGCGTGCTGGTGGTGCCCTCAGGAAGCCGGGGCGAGGCTGGGCCGGCTGCGAAGCACCAGTAAGAGTGAGACACTGACGCTTGCATCCTGGGGCAGAAGTGGGCGGAGAGCTTTAGAAGCACTGAGATTAGATTAGCCCAGCGAGCAGAGGAGGATGTTTCAGACATCCCCTGCAGACGGCTCAGAAACGGCTACCGGCTACCGTTCAACAATTTGCCAGGAAACTCAAGATTTGTTTTATCTTTGATCTAAAAGAATACAACACAAAGTCTACTTCCTTTTCAGAGACCTACCAAGTTAAACCCTTCCATGCTGTTCCATGGTTTCATCTGACACGGGGGTTGCAGCCTCCACTCTGCAACGCAGCTGTATCTGAGGCGAGGAAGTAACCAGGCGGGAACAGCTGCCCTTCACGTAAGACCCTCCGATGGCGCTGACACCCGCAAAAAGTCAAGATTTGACTCTAATTAGCAAAAGCCTTCAGGCTGGTCGCGGGGTAATTACGAAGCAGCCTAAATATTAATATTAAAAAGTGGGCCTCGCAGCAGCTACAAGAGCCAGAGAAAATAAATGTTATCGGCCACATCCCTGCCGCCCTGGAGCAGCCTCCTCGTAAAGGACCTTCCCTACGTGGGAACGGCAAATGGCGATTTTAAAAAACAAAAACGCTTTCTTTGTTTTGAAGAAAAAGAGACGTGGACTTTGAGAGAGCGGGACCAGTATCCACGCAGAGGAGCCACGAGGCCACTGCGGGCTGTCCCCACAAACACTTTTGCTGCAGCGGCCGTGGACGGGGGCCCGAGCTGGGCCCACCTCCCAGCTGGCGGGGCCAGAAGACCCCTGGCAGGAGAGCTGGGAAACCCGGAGGCACCGCTGGCGCCGCCTTGTGTGAGCTCTCCTGGGGGCAACCACAGCAAAATCCCCTTGGTGCCCTTTGACGCAACAATGGCATCTTTTGTCCTCAGGGCACAATTCTTGACCAGTGAAACGACGGAGGCCGTGGTCTGCAGAGTACCCGCGCCTGCAGCTAGATGATGAGAAGTGGCAGTCGGGCCTGCTGGGGAGGCTGATCTAGCCACAGGCGGGGCGAGACCACGTGGCCTGGGGGGCAGAGTCAAGCCAGTTTATGTGACACAGGCCCGCTGGCCTCTACGCAGTGACGACAGCTCCAGGGGTTTCTGACGGCTTCTATCTCTTTTCGTACTTTTCTGATTTTTAACAATTTTAACATGAAAACAGAGTCAGGGACATCTTCGTTAAAAAGAGATCACAAACATATTTTTCTTTGAAAATAAATGTCAATCTATGTAAATAAAGACACCTCATGGTGAAAAGAAACTAACCAACAAAACCCCCTTCATTTGTAAGTTCATTTTTGACTCCCTGGACAACTTAGAGTGCTTCATAATTGCTAGGATGCTGGCTCTACTCTTGGGCTTCGCCGCTGCAAATCCTCTGCAAGTCAAACTACAGCGGGTCTCACGAGCTTACGACACACCAGGCGCCAGACTGCCGCGTGCGGTCCTGACCGGCGCCCTCGCCACAGACAAGCGTCGCCACGACCCACAGGACGCCACACAACTTCTGTTATCAACTGCATCCTTTAGGCACCTGAAGTTTTTCCTTCTAAGGGGCGAATAAAAGACAAGATAGCCATAAACATGCTCAGCTTCTACCTAGGCACCCGTGTCTGCCGCATTTATACACTATAAATACTGAACCCGTCATTGTAGTAACAGGTCAAAGAGGACGAGGGAAGCAGCGGTGGGTGCCCCTCGGTCCCGATGGGCAGCCGAGCAGCACCGCCCCCGGCCCTCTCCTGCCCTGATCTCGCCCTGCACAGCTGCACAGAAGCCGCAAGGGTGAGTCAAGGCTCACCCTTCACCATTAAGTTACTGCAGTGAAGCCGGGGCTGCCTCACTCAGTCCGATGACAAAATACCACAAAGCAAAGTAGTGGAGAGAGCCACACAGAGACCAGGCGTGTCTGCTGGCCCTCGCAGATGAGCGGGGTGAGCGGGCAGGCGGCACCGGGACCGTGGGGAGCGAGGCTGCAGGAAGGCGAGGCCCTGCCCCAACCTGGATGCACTTACGGTCTTCAGTCCTCAATACAACTTGTACTTACATATGATGCATTATACATACTTTATGTGAAATGAAATTCCTTGATAATTGTGACTAAGTCAATTGTCATCCCCAAATGTCTCTAAAACGGGAGAGCTTGGCTTTAAGCACTGGCCCCAAGTTCCCTCTGAGGCCAGCAGATGTAGCTGTGAGTTAAGAGGGAAGGCAGCGGCTCTGGTCAGCCGCTAGGTGGCGCCTGTTTCTGTGAGCAGGTTTGTACTGGAAATTTCATGCAACACAAAGGAGCCACCAACAGCTACCTGCAGGGGATTAACTCTGATTTGCCTGGATTTATTAGGATGACCACTCAATTATTTATTGTGTGCACAGACCTGGGCATTTCTGCTCAGTCTTTTCTGACATCTCCCTAAGGATAAAGATGGTATTTCCCAAGAAAAGGCAGCAAATAGTGGTACGAGTTGGTTACTGGATGCAGAGCAATTCCCAGTTATGACTGAGCCCTCACGTGACCCCCAACACCTGGTCCCAAACACTTTCTAGCTTCTCAGGCCAATGTCTTGGAGATTCCCTCACCCTTCATATCCAATCCCTGACAAATCCGGTCACCTCCACTTTAAAGTATGTCCAACCCCCTGCTGCCGCCATATCTAAGCCACCACGAACCCTCCAGGAAAAGCCTGGCTGGAGAGCTTCCCACCAGAGTTTTGTAAGAAAAGCTGATCGTGGGCCCTCCCTGGTGGCGCAGCGGGTTAAAGCACTGCACTAAAGAAGCTTAAGCCACTTCCGCAAGAGTTCGATCCCCGCCTGCCCCAGAGATCCACATGGCGCGGCAGACCTCTCCTGACCCACCCACTGCTCCCCTCAGCCGTGGACTTCGTCCATCTGCCTGTTCTGCTCCCAGCTCTGTCCCTGGTGAATCCTCTCACCCTCCACATCTCTGGCCTGTATCCCAGTTCTGTATGAATAAATAAATAAATCTTTAAAAAAAAAAAAAAAAAAGAAAAGCTGATCGTTCCCAATGTACTGCTTTCTAGCTGGGGGTCATACACACACACCCCTTTAGAGTTTTCCCCAATAATGTGTAAACACATTAATCATTTAAATAATAATTTCAAAATGCTTTAAGTATTTTACAAGGATGATTATATATGTAATACATATGTGCATGATAAACAGCAGAGAAAGTTGTTCCCAATTAAATAATTTTATTGAACAAGGAGTTAAAAAGCCAATTTATAAAAAATGAACATTTACTATGAATTAGTGCTTAATTACATTTGAGCTTTCACCACCTTTATTTAAATTATATGATTTACCAGTAGTGACAAGTAGCCTAGTTATTAGTATAAATTCAGCCACATTCTCTGTCCTTACCACGTGATGGTGAAAATTTGAAAAGCAGGAAGATTTAGATTACAAAAAGTAGAACATTCCAGACATCAATTGCAGGGCTGTGGTTACTTACACTGTGAACTCCCAGAGCCTTCCAGACGGCAAAGCTGATCACACCAACCCCACACCAGGCGTACAGAGAGCCCCAGCCTAGGGCTCGCAGGGCCAGGGAAGACCCACTCTCCGGCAGGGCTGCAGTGGCCATGCTTCCCTGCAAGGAAGGCAGGAAGAAGGTTCAGGTAGAAATCATTGGCCAAGGAAGAAGTGTTTGATACAAGTGTCTGTGAGCCCCGTGACTTGGGGTGTCAGCGCGACCCAAGATCAGATACAGCTCTGTGCTTGCAGGCGCACCGCTACTAGTGAGTGTGTGCCTCGCGCCTGGGGTCACACCTTCCCTGACTGACAAATGCTCGAGTGCGCCAGGCACTGTGCTGGGGACTCAAGAGACAGGTAAACGGAGCAGCTTCCACCTGACCAACGATGTGATGGGGAAGGGAGCTGACGGGGAGGCCCAGGAGGCAGACACCCACATTGAGTTAGGACCCAAACAGGAAATGCAGTGGCATCCTCAGACCTGGCGCGGGGCCAGCGGGCCTGCTGCTGACTGCCTGGCGCGGGAAGGACGCTGGGCACAGAGGGCTTCCTAGGAGAGGCGAGTGGAATCTGAATGCGAGAAAAGACAGCGACACAGGGCAGAAACGCTGCTTGCTCACTTCTCTCTTCTGGCTAAGTGAGAAGTGCTGGCCCCTGCCCGCCTAGCAGGTAACTGCCCACCGGGCAGCCTGGAAATCAGAGCGAAACAAGTGTTCAAACCAAGCCAAGGTTCCCTGAGATCACAGCAAGGAGGCCAGAGGTCCCAAAAGCCCGACAAAAGGGGCGGGTAAGTGTGTATCACCACCCTGGAAAGGGATTTAGGGGGCGATGTCTGGGAAGATGAACCCCGTGGCCCATGAAGAAAAAAAGGGGGCGGGGGTGGACTTGCACACTAGGTATAAAAACTAAATGGAAATTTGTGTTGGGGTGCCTGGGTGTCTCAGCTTTGGCGCCCACTCTCGCAAGAAGGTTGTGTCAAGTCTCGCTTCTGGCCGCTCTGCCACTCTGTCTGTTCTTTGTGAGGACAGGTGAGGACAGGTATGTGTCTCACATGCAGGTCACTGTGAGAACTTTGAAATACGTACGAAACCGGCACAGACAAAGTCAGCTCATGGCAGCTACCGAGAAGCCGGCAGGTGAACAGCGACCCTCCGTCCACATTTCGAGGCACAGTGTTAAGGTAACAATTGGCATTTTCAATAATCAAACAACTTCCTGATGAGCATGTGAACCTCACTGGAGAACGAGAATGAAATGTACCCTTCACAAAGAAGTGTTCCCATCGAGGAAACATGAGGGGTGCGAGGAAGGGGAGCTATAGAGACAGTGGGAAGAACAGTCAGTCATCCAGATTTCTAATGTCTTCCAGGTTTATGATTTGGTGACTTAAAATGTTAGCTGGCAGCTTATTTTTGTTTAAAAATACAACCCCGAAATGGAAAAAAAAAAAACAAAGACACGCCTCCATCTGGTCAGATGCTCACTAGAGGACAGACAACCTACTCCTTGAGGTTAGGAGCGTATCATGAAAAACAAAAACAAACAGTAAAGTTCTCACAAGTATGAAGGGGATGAAGAAATGTTCTCAGGCTCGGTGACATCTCACAGACGGAGAGCTCCTTGTCCACCTGCACGCTGAATGACAGAGCCGCACACGCAGCCATCAGACTGCTCACTAGTGATGAACGATCCGCTCTGATCAGGGACCAAAGCCACATGTTTCCTTATTCCACTGTAAGTGGCCACCAGCCTTATTTTAAGTACGACTGCGGTCCTGCAGGGCACCAGTGTCTCCAAATACTGTATCACGCTGGTGACTGGATTCCTGCCCCCTCACTAAGTGGTAAACATGTTACTCGTGCGAATTTATGTAACCTCACTCTGAGACGGCCCCACTATTTCCCCCATTTTACTGATGAGCACAAGAATGCAGAGACTTGCTCAAGGACTCTGGCTGTAAAAGCTGAGCACATCAGCAGGGGTCTCTCAGGCTGGTTATGATCTTACTGCTTCAACAGGACATTCTCATGCATGCTGGCATTTCTGCATGCCAGGCGATGAAGGGTCTTGCCATGTATAATAACTCAACTTCCTGACTACGAGCACAGGACAGTGTGATCTGCCAGTGTGATACCTGCCTTGACCATGCCTTAAAAAGCGCATGTGGTCTGATGTTCAAGCCATAAAACAGAATGGAAAAGTCGCGTTTGTGCCTTTTGTGCTGAGGCAAAACCTGGACCTTTCAACGGTCCCTAAAATATCTGTGGCCCAAAGGTTAACATAGTAACTGGGGCTCAAACATTCCATGATGAAGCTTGACTACAAGCCAGGTTTTATCTGTGTCTGTCACAACAACTACTTGTACCCGAAATAGTGGAGGGGGGAAATGACACCCCTCCAGTGACGGAGGGCACGCCCTATGAGCCTGAAGTTTGCCAAGGGGTTCCAGATGCACTTTCAACGTGGCCTGTTGCCATTCCAGTATCCAGAATGCTGAGTGTGAGAATCAGATCATTAAAGATAAATAAAAACGGAATGGGGATTTGACAGGTTCCTGATCTTTCATAGAGCACTTTTTCCCCACAGTTTAAAATATTAAACTGTAGTTATATAGACACTGACTGGTGTGAATACTTAGTATCTGTTCCCACAGCGGAGCTCACTTCCTGAAGGGCAGATATATTCTACTCTTTTCTGGTATCTCTCGCCCCTAGCTACCAGTGCCTGACACAAGAGAGAGGGAGGTTAGCCTCGTTTGAAGTAATGGCTAAGTGAGCCGCAAGGGGTGGGCAGGGCAGGTAAACATGGAGACAATCTCCCATCAAGTGGGAAGACCAGGAAGCAGCGACCACGCAAAGTGCCCACTCCCTGTGCTGATGGAAAAGGGTTTTCTGCCACAAGCAGTTTAGATTTAGCCAAAATGTGTTACCATTCAACAGGGCAGGCGCCTTCGGGGTTTACTTCTTAAGTCGACATGAAAAGGCATCCACATTTTCTTCACTTTTCCTACGTGAAACAGCTGCCATTCCTTTGTAAACAACACAATGCTATGCACATACTTGAGTCACAAACCTTATTGAACCATTCAGGGCTTCTCTTTTTAGCCAGCGATAACGTTGTGCCAAATCCAGCTAGCATGCCCGCTGCAGCAACGGTACCAAGGAAAAGCCCACCTGCCAAGAGTGTGGGGGCAGAGCGTGGGTGGTGGGAGATTAAAGAGAAAGAAAGAAAAGCTTAAATTAAAAAGAGGGAACGCTTCAGATGCGATTCAAATTACACTTACAATCACGTCAGAAATTATTTTGAGCCGCTCTTGCCAAAGGCAAAGGCCTGCAGCAGCAGCGAAGCCCGCGGCCCTCAACACCGCGGCCCTCAACACCGCGGCCCGGGGCGGCCAGAGGCGCCCTCCCCAGGCGGCGACACCGGGAACCTACCCCTTCCCGGCCCCCCCGCAGAGGCTGACGTGTCTCCCGGATCGTGCAATTTAGAAAAGGGCGGGCACGCGGGCCCTGCGGCTTTGCAGGCGGGCGACACCCCACGGCCCGCGGGGGCCCCCCCGCAGGAGCACTGAGCGCGCGGGCCGCCGACCCGGGGCTGCGCTTGGGGGCACCTCGCGCCTCTCTCCAGGGCGGGCCCGGGGAGGGAGCTGAGCAGGGCCCCGGCCCGCGGCGCCCCCACAGATCGCCCCGGCTCACCACCCCGCACCTTTGACCAGGAAAAGGGGGTCTTCCGGGGACGCCGACGGCTCCAGCGCCGGAGCCGGCTCCGCAGCGCCAGCGCCCTCCGGCTCCATGCTTCCAGCCCGCAGCACTGCGTCCGGCGCCAAGTGGGCCCGGGTGGGAGCAGCCGCGAGGCACAGCACAAAGGTTCCGCTGCCGCCCGCGCGGTGCCACCCGATCGTCGGTCCGGGGAGCGCGCGGCGCTGGCCGCGGTCTCCTGCACGCAGCCGCGCAGGGAAGGGCGGTGGCCGCACCCGGGGCGAGGCCCTCGGAGACTGTCTCCCCCAGCGCACCCTCTTCAGCCCCGAAGGGGTGGGCGCTGCGCCCGAGTACCTGGTTCATCCGAAGCGATGCTCGGCCTGGACTGTAGGGGGCGCCGAGGGGCCGCAGATGGCGCCGCGGGCCCGCGAGCCCTGGGGCCGCGTCCGGACCCGCCTCGTCTGCCCGCGCCGCGCGGGCGCGGCCTCCCGGAGCCGAACGAGCCGACCTCGGTGCTTTCTCTGCACTCGTCTGGGAAATTTCTAAAGCCGCCACTCTGGCTCCACGCGACAGGCCTTGTCCCTGCGGGGGGCAGCCCTCTGCCGGCGGACTGGACAACAGTCGGGCCGCCAGGGCCCGGCCGGGAGCAGGGGAGCCCCGGGTGGCCGCGCCTGCTGGGGGCGCTGGCGCCCGCGCTCAGCCTGGTCTTCGCGGTCTGGGAGGCGGGTCCCAAACCGGGTGGGTCCTGTAAATGGCCACGGACGGAGGCTGGTGGACAGACGGAAGCTAGTGGACAGGAGGAGGCTGTGGACAGAGGGAGGCTGGTGGACAGGAGGAGGCTGGTGGACAGGAGGAGGGTGGTGGACA